AATAATAATAATAATAATAATAATAATAATAATAATAATAATAATAATAATAATAATAATAATAATAATAATAATAATAGTGATTTAATGGTTGTACTAAAGTATGGCAATTATTAATGGTAAAAAAAAATTGTGCTATAAACTGTAAAACTTTAGTGACAGGTTCTGGCAAACTTGTTCTGTGCAAGTCATAAAGAGCTAAAAGAGCACAACATAGTTGAAATTAGCAGAACAGTACCTGTAAGTAGCAGAAAGGGCACCACAAAGAGAAATTATCAGAAAGAGGCTGAAGATGAAAAGAGAACTAAAAGCTGAAACGACCGGTAGCTGAAAAATAACCAAATAAAGCTTAAATTAGGAGAAAATTGCTCAAAAGTAACAGAGTCAGAGATTCTTTATTGTCATTCGCACCTCATGTGGTACATGTGGTGGAGCAAAATTATGTACACAGGGTCCCAGTTACATCCAACAATAAAATGAATAAGAAAAACAGTAATAACATCTAAGATATGAACTAAGAAAAACATCAACTAAATATACACTAAGCACTCATAACATAAAAACATTGAACATCAGCACAAACATGAACATGAATCTGTGTGAGTGGATGTACACGCATGAACACATCAACATTGAAACAGATCAGCAGCAACATGAACCAGATCAGCAGCAACATGACGTGATTTTCACAGTGATTATTCTGGTTAGAGATTCATGGGTCTAACAGCCTCAGGGTAGAAGCTGTTCCTCAGTCTAGTGGTTCTAGAGACAGAGAAAACAGCCGAAATTACCAAAAAGAAGCAGAAATTAGCAGGAAAGAAAAAGTAAAAAAAAGGTTAAAAAGCTGAAAAAAGTTAAAAACCTGAAATTAGTAGAAAGAAGCTGAATAAGATGCATCAACAAGATGAAAATAGCAGAACCAGGACAAAAGGTAAAATGAGCAAATAAAAAAAAAGTTGTAAACAGCCCAAAATGCTTGAATTACAGTAAGAGAGCACCATTCATTTACGAGGAAAAAATGTCAGAACATGCTAAATATTTCAAAAACTAAAATTTGTACAAATACCAACAGTCAGAGCAAGAATGTACTTAATGAGCTGAATGCTTTTATTTGTGAGTTTCTCAAAAATCTCTAAAACTGTGGAACAAGTTATGTACCACAAAACATGGAAGAATAATAAACAGATCTTAATAGTGTGAATGCTTATGAAGTATTGACACAATTAGAGTAAAAGGAGGATTAAGTAAAGAACCTATGAAAGACATAAACTAACATTAATACATATTACATTTTAAGCTTAGACAAAACAGAGCTGGATTCTCATTCAGCCCACTCCACTCTTACCCCTCCACCACACATATATAAGGTTTATATTGTCACCGAGGACATGAATACAAGAGGTAAAGAGTAATTTCCTGTCTTGTGCAGTGAGGGTAGATATGGTTGATCATATCACTGGCCAAGGCCAATGTTATTTCCTTTACCATAAAATCCAGATAAGTATTTCTACTTTTTCACCTCACACTAAATTTTTTTTCAGGCACGGCCTCCTGTTTTGTTTTGTTGAAAGATATTATTTCTACATTGACAGACAATTTTTTTACACTTTAATATTCACCATACTCTGTTCTGTCCTGTACTTACATTTATTTTTTTTTTACAATATCCTAATAACATGAAAATTAGAAGATTTCTGAGCTGTAACATATTTACTTAGCTTCTGTTTTGTTCTCTTTCAGGCATATCAGTCAGCATCTCTACATTCAGCCTGGTTGCCATAGCTATTGAGCGCTACAGTGCCATTTGTAATCCCCTGAAGTCTCGGGTGTGGCAGACTCGTTCCCATGCCTACCGTGTCATCGCAGCTACATGGGTGCTGGCCTTTATCATCATGATCCCCTATCCAGTCATCAGTAACCTGGAGTCTTTTCGGCGCCCTGACAACACCACTGCACACCAGTGTCGCCACAAGTGGCCTGTCGCGACTGCAGAGCAGACCTGGTGAGAGATTTGGTTCAAGTTAGTTTATCAATAACAAGTTTCACACTACATGTACAATAATACTGTCAGTGCCAAACATAATCACTCTGCATTCCCGGTAAAATAAACCTGTTTAACAGGTTACAACAAAGTCCATGCTCAATAATCCAGGTATACAATCCAACATTAACAGGTTATGCAGATTTAACGCATTTGCCAAGAAATGTGTGTCAAAACACATGCCTATCTGTAAAAACTCTTTTTTATGACATCTGTTTTGTTATGATGGTGGGAAAAGAAAAAATGTGATGGTGACAGGACCAGTAAATCAAGAATGTTTAATAACAGGACAACTGAAACGTCACAAAGACAAAAACTATAGGATCTGACGAATGGTAATAAAAAAGCAAGAAATGTATTTATATCATGAGAAGTCAACAACTAACTTATTGCAGGTTTGACGATTAGAAACAAGTACAGGAGCTAAAGGAAAGCAAAATCATAATCTGACAGAAACAAACTCAGAAAGACAGTGAGACAACAAGAATACAAAACTTAATCAACTGTAGATTGAAGAATACATTTAGTCTTTTTTGCATTTTCACAATGTAAAACAATAAATAATGTTGGCATTACAAGAACTAATTCACATGAATACATAAATCATAAAACTCAACTGAACCAGATTCAGAAACAGTAACAGCCAGTTGACATTCATGTAATCAACTAAAATTAAGTAAAGTGACTAATCTAAACTACGTCTGCGCATCAGCAGTCAGTCACTTACAGGAAAAAACACGTGAGCGTCCTATGTGGAAATCACGTTTTTACCTGTGGAGACATGATAAGTTAGCATGGGACATAATATACGTAAAACATATTACACCACACAACCTTGTTTGGAACAAATAACACATGAATGTCATATATGGAAAATAACATATTTACATGAAAACTTGTATCTGTGGGTTTATCTTCATTTACTCACTTGTCCATCAGGATATTCTACAATCTATGTCATATGTCTCTTTTAGGTATGTTCTACTCCTGCTTGCACTGTTCGCCATTCCAGGAGTGGTGATGATTGTTGCCTATGGACTGATCTCCAGGGAACTTTATCGAGGCATTCAATTTGAAATGGGACACAAAAAAGACTCCACCGGTGAGGCCATCTATACAGGTGCTGGTGGTGGTAGTGAGTTTGTGCATGTGTGTGTGTGTGTGTTGGGGTGTGTGGTCATTGTTGTGGGATGTGGAGTCTTGAAGGAAAGGCAGGGTAACACAATTACCATATCCCTCTAGTGAGTTTGCTCATTGTGCAGAGGAGGATCCAAAAGAATAACAATATTGGGAGGTGGGTTGGGTGGTAGGGTGCGTGGTTAAATATTTAAGTGGCTAAGATGAATGTCACACCACAGGTCTTAATGCTCTGAATGCTCTGATCTGATATTTTATTTTTGCATGGTCATTCACATTATCGTGGCAGTACAACCTCCAACTTCAGTAGGAACTTCAACAAAGTTAAGTCGGGTCCTCTGGATGTTTTCTTTTTTTGGTTGTTGTTGAAACTTTTCATCCTTCATCCCAAGGACTTCATCAATCCGAGGAGCCACAACAAACTCAGTACCACAATCAGCTCAGTCACTAGTGAGCCAACCTTGATGGTGATCAGCAGGGCTTAATTTGTAAACAGATTGATGCCGGAACAGTGGGCAGACCAGGGGTGGGGGGTACGTGTGTGTGTGTGTGTTGTGGGGGATTCCGTGGGTCCTCTCAGAAAATTTTGAATAACAGAGATGCCATTTCCTTCATTTTGGTGTATTTTAACGGGTTGTTATACATCAACAATTACCCATATTTGTAGACACTTCATAAAATTATATTTTGGAGAAGAACAGCAGGTTGTGTGTGAATGAGCAGCTCCGATTCTGTCAGGTGTCCTACCCCCCCCCCCCCCCCCTCACTTCACCGTTCTGAGCTGAACTCTTCTCCACTGAATTCAATGTTGCTCCTGCTCTAATCTCGAGGCACCGTTTTGAAGCAACTGAAGGATTCTCGGTTGTCGAACAATCCATCCATCCATCCATTTTTTTAACTAAAATAAATTGGACTGTCTTTTCGACATTTTGATCGCTGTTGTTATTTTTGACAAATTAGCGCCGTTGTTTTGAAACGTAATGTGAATAACACATCAAAGATTTCTTTTTGTATTCATTTATTGTTTACAGTAATCTTTTTAAAAATGTATTATGTCTGAAATGTAGCAGGAGTTCAGACACCTGTTGATGTTGTGCACGTGCTGTGTAGAGCTGTCTGGATACGCTGTGCGTAATGTGCACTGTCCACAGGGCATTTATTTATTCTGTTGAATAAATTATCGTTTCTGGTTCGGGGGTCTGAGAGGAGAGGAGAGGGGGTATTTTTCAGTGTGC